ACTCTTTTGGCTGAGAAAAAACCCAAACAAAAAATGATAGCTGAGAGGCAACAGGCCCAATGACCCACTCCCCCACCCAAAGATGAACCACAGAGCATCACTACAGAAGGATGAGGATCAATAATGGTTAAAGTAGGAATACTAGGTGGTTTAATTTACCAAAGCATTTAAGCTAAATATTTAAGAGAGCTTTTTGATCACACTCCCCCCCCACCCCCCCAAAAAATAAAAAAAAATAAGCATTAGCAGGCAATGTAAGGAACATCTGGGATGTTCTGTGTGGAAGATTTTCAGGAACAGACAAAGCCAGTTCATTCTTCCTGACTAGATGACAAACAGGTCTCCCATTCTATGAATCTGAGATCACAGTGATAAAAATCAAATAAGGAAAAACTGGAAAGGGACTTACATGATAATTAGTATCATCAATTGTTTAAAGTTAATATACATTCATACAATTTATACTACAACTAGCTAATTTTACTGAATAAAGGATGCAAATTTTATTTAAAACTAGTATAATTCAAATAGAGCATTAATTTGAATACACAGATAAATGATACAGCTTCAAAGTTTAGCTGAACAGAGAACATTATACAAAGACACTGCACCACAGCACCTTTAAGGGCTCAGAGAGAGGTTCTGGCTGGAGTAAGAATATAGAAAACATTGGCAATATGCTCTTCCTGGAACCCCAGGGACTTAGAAAAGTCTGTGGGTGTTGCAGACAGTAAGAAATATGATGCACTTCCTCTGCATTTGTTAATTTTCCCCAAGTTGATAGTTTTAAAATTAGAGCCACCACTTGTGATAATTTGGCTAGTCCTGATACTCATAGGTAAGTCAGAGTTTGGATCTTTTACAAAGTCTTGCTCAAGATCTTGAGCATCTTACTCAAGAAAGTATCACAATAATAACACCTAGAGGCTACTAGGGTCAGACAATTATCTGATCCAACATCTGTTAAAAGGTGGTAGGTATGAAATAACATGACACACTTTTTCCTTGGTTTGTTTTTTTTTTTTAAGAAATACTCCTGCATTCTGATACATGTAAGCAAAATCAGGAAAAAACAAAACTGATAAAGGAAACATCAGAAATTTACAAAAAAACCCCAAACATTTGGGTTTGCAGAAACTCCTGTGATGTATGATAGCCACCTTATTGTGCTCTTTGGAAAAGCTCTTTCTTCTTTGGGGTAGATGTCAAAATTTCAATTTGGATGTCAGTTTATTCACTCATGTTCTCTAGATTTGTTGTCTGTTTTTATTAGAACCTACCCTATGGACCAAGGGGGGGGGGGGGGGGACAACAAAC